GGGAAGAAGATGAGGGTATATAAGTAATTAAAGGTAAAAAAATTTAACATCTCATCCATTTTTGCCACGTGGATTTTCCACGTAATTTAGTTAAAAAAAGGAATGAGTATTTTCGTTAGTTAACCTGCCATATCAGCAAAAATTTAACGGAGGGACTAAAAAGGGGCCGGATTTGTGAACAGTAGGGACTAAAAAGGGGATTTTTTCGGTATAGGGACCAAAAAAGGGCTTTTTCCTATAGTAGAGGGACCAAAAAGGGTATTTAACCATAAAAATATAAGTTAGGAAATAAAAAAAGTGGGCTGGGCTTCGGTTTTACTAGTCCTACCCCCACGCCGCCGCCCCAATGAGCCAAAAATTTACTTTTTGATGTTTTACGTTATTAAATTTGTAAATTTTAATTTTTTATTTTATATTATAATATTTTTAATTTTTTTTATTAAAATTAAAAAAAATAATCTTCACTTTATAATATTTTATTAATTTTATTAATTGATTGTTAACTTTATTAGTTGATATTTAATTTTATTAGTTGAAAATAAGTTTTTATCAACTAATATTTAGCTGATAAGCAACAGTTAGTTACTAGAATAGTTTTGCTAACTGATTATTAACTCTATTAATTAAAAGTAGATTTTTATCAGTTAACAATCAACTAATAATCAATTAATAAAATTAAATAAATTAAAAATTGATTAAAAATAAATTAAATAGTTAGATAAAAGATAGTATGTTTAAATTTATTTTTAAAGTTAGATAGTAAAGATAAATTTACTCTTAAATAAAAAGATAAAAATAAATTTATTTACAAAGTTTTTTATTTAAATAAATCACCCTAAATGTAGTTTGTGAGGTTAAGTGACATTAGTAATTTGTTAACTTATTGCTCTATTAATAAGTTTATTGTTAATAAATTGTTAATATCATTTGACATTACAAGTTAAATTTAAAATAATTTATTCAAATTAAAAACTTTATCGAAGAAGGTGTTCACACTGCTTAACTTTAAAGGTGAATTTGAACATTTTACCTAGATGTAAATAGTTTTTAGTTGTTGTTTTTTTATTATAATCAAAAAATTTTGATTGGTTATCCATGAGAAAGCTTGAAAACTAAAAACCAAACATGTAACTAAAAAAAAAATTTTACATTAATTAATAAATAATAGTTGTTTTAATATGGCAATATTATAGTTACAATACTACATAAAATTGTAAACTTATAATTATATATGGTATTAAACAAGTTAATGCACATAATATTATAAGAAAATCTTTAAATAAAAAGAATCAATTATATAACAACTTATCATATTTTTAAATTTACAATACAAATTGAATGAATCGGGGTGTGGCTATTGTCACCTTACAAAATATTAGGAGTTTCAAAAAAAAAATTTTTTGTGGTTTTTTTCTTAATTAGTGTTTGAAAATATTATTTTATTGATTAATTTAAATTTATTGAATAATAAATATTAATTATTTTATTAATTAATAATTATTATA